ATGTTTGGTGCTAAATACGAGCGGAGCAAAAAACTCAGCAATTGTGCCGTAAAATTAAGATTAAAGGCTGCTCTTTCACATTATTTTAAAGCTTCTTTTCTAGATTTTGAAGCAGAACGAGCTATACTTTGAATGAGAACTCAATATTTCAATAATACCATGTTTGTTGCTAATTACGAAGAGAGCAAAAAACTCAGCAATTGTGCCGTAAAATTAAGAGTTAAGGCTTTTCTTTCACACTATTTTAAAGCTTTTTTTCTTGATTTTGAAGCAGTACGAGCTATACTTTGACTGCGATCTCACGATTTCAATAATTCCATATTTGGTGTTAATTACGAGTGGAGCTAAAAACTCAGCAATTGTGCCGTAAAATTAAGTGCTAAGGCTGCTCTTTCACACTATTTTAAAGCTTTTTTTCTAGATATTGATGTAGTCCGAGCTATACATTGACTGCGATCTCAATATTTCACTAAAACCATGTTTGGTGCTAAATACGAGCGGAGCAAAAAACTCAGCAATTGTGCCGTAAAATTAAGAGCTAATGCTGCTCTTTCACACTATTTTAAAGCTTTTTTTCTAGATTTTGAAGCAGTACGAGCTACAGTTTGACTGCGATCTCGTACTGCTTCAAAATCAAGAAAAAAAGCTTTAAAATAGTGTGAAAGAAAAGCCTTAACTCTTAATTTTACGGCACAATTGCTGAGTTTTTTGCTCTGCTCGTAATTAGCACCAAACATGGAATTATTGAAATATTGAGGTCTCAGTCAAAGTATAGCTCGTACTGCTTCAAAATCTAGCAAAAAAGCTTGAAAATAGTCTGAAAGAGCAGCCTTAGCTCTTAATTTTACGGCACAATAGCTGAAAGTTTTGCTTCGCTCGTATTTAACACCAAATATGGTATTATTGAAATAGTGAGATCGCAGTCAAAGTATAGCTCGTACTGCTTAAAAATCTAGAAAAAAACTTTAAAATACTGTGAAAGAGGACCCTTTAATCTTAATTTTACGGCACAATTGCTGAGTTTTTTTGCTCCGCTCGTATTTAGCACCAAACATGGTATTATTGAAATATTGAGATCGCAGTCAATGTATAGCTCAAACTACTTCAAAATCTAGAAAAAAAGCTTTAAAATAGTGTGAAAAAGCAGCCTTAGCTCTCAATTTTACTGCACAATTGCTGAGTTTTTTTGCTCAGCTCGTATTTCACACCAAATATGGTATTATTGAAATCGTGAGATCGCAGTTAAAGTATAGCTCGTACTGCTTCAAAATCTAGAAAAAAAACTTTAAAATAGTGTAAAAGAGCAGCCTAAACTCTAAGTTTTACGGCACAATTGCTGAGTTTTTTATCCGCTCTTATTTAGTACCAAACATGGTATTATTGAAATATTGAGGAAAGTCTGCATTCAGATATATAATATGTCAATTCGGGTATGTATGCTACATGATTTTTCATACTTTGACATTAAACTCTGCACCACTTTTTGTAAATTGGCAATTTTCAAAATATTAACAGCAAAGGGGATAAATATTTCTATGCAAATAACAACAAGGATTTATCTTTATTTAAACGATTTCTGGATAATTTATGTGAATAATCCAGAATAATTATACTTTATCAGGTTATTAATGTGCATTAATCTGTTAAGCTAATTGTTTGATCTGCTGTTTGTTCTCATGATGCTGGGCCCCCACATGAGAAAAAACAAGTATGTAATTATTAATCATTTAGTACACAAATTGCTGTCAAAATCGACTTATTTTTTAGATTGAATATTAAAAAGATCTTAATAGCGTTAACAGCTTTTAAACTAAAAAATTTTACTTCCTAATAGAAAACCTGGGATGTAAGCAGATTTTTTAATTCCCATTATTGACAGAAAATATCATTTGGGGGCCCACAGTTGCACACTTTAAATTTATCTAGATTTACGTTATTCAGTTGTTTTTGTGCCAATTTCTAAAATTTTCTGATAAATTTTGCCATCTGCTGCTTGCAGGTCAGAAGAAATTTTTGGAGGCAATGGTATAACCGAGGCAAGGGCGGAAAAAGGCTAAAACCGGCATGACTGCGACTGTGAGATCTCATCATTTCAATCGCATTTGGTAAGTTTGATTTTATACAGCTTCTATCTGCAATAAAATCAAGGTTTATTATTTTTAGTCTTGAAGTGATATTTTTTTTTTTTTTTTTTAAAGAGAACTGATTAATTTTCAATCTACAGGACCGAACAGAGAATCTGTTGGAGGCACCGTTGGGGATAACTGGGTGAGCGAGTCCAGATGTAATGGTCTGCTGTTGCTTTAATGGGCATTACATGTCTGCGACCGACCCTCCCTGCACCTGGTAAGGAGCAGAGGGGGAGGGGGGCAATTGGTAGCATGAGCTGACCCTTCAAGAACCCCCCTACAGCGTCCACCGTACGGGTAGCCAAGGGTTGCTGATCAAACAGCAAGGGTTTTGTTGATCCCTGAGCCTCATCCTGAACTGTCAGATGCTGGATTGCCTGGCTGGCACCCTAGCTGGCGTACCTTCACCGGCGTCAGCTCTCACCCACACAGGTCTTGTTTGCCAGGCCAAAGAGGACGATTGAAACTTCACGGGTAAAAATAATTCATCTCTTATATCATAAAAAACATTTTCATTATTTTTTTTCGCTCACATGTTAAAAGTGTTGACATAATTATGCATTTTTCCTTTAGAAATTAATTTGAAAATGAATTTAGTCACCAATCCTCTTTAATAAATCAATTTTAATTCTAATATCAGTTGGTGGAGCTGCAGAAGACTAAGGAAGCAAGGCAAGTCTGCAGAAATCAAAGGGAACATTTTGAAGAAGGCAAACCCCATCATCATCAGAAAGCCTGACATCATGGAGCCGCCCTGCTCTAGACCAGTCAGCTCAATAAGGTCAGTGGTTTATCATTTTTATTTTAAAATCTAAATTTATTATTTGTTTGCATACTTGGTGGGTGATGAACACACACATGTGTTTCCTAATGATTAAAACTGGAGACTATGACTGCTGCCGGGAGTAATTTTTTTAATTCAATTCATTTATTCTCGCAACAAGTCATACAGAAAAATGGAAAAGTCACATTGGGAGAGTTCACTAATTTTTGATGACTATTTTTGTCTTGTAAAGTAATACAATATATTAAAAAACTAATTTAAATAGTTTAAAGTAAAATAATGACACATTTATTTCAATTTTTCACAATGAATTCAAATTATATCACGAAGGGTTAGAAAAAGAATTTTAGATAGGTGTCATGTGTGTCTTGCTGTTTTTGAAACCATCTTTTTTGTGTTGCAAGTTGCAACAACAAGACACAAGACTAGTAACACTCGCCACCTATCTCGATTTCCTTTTCTGCAACTTTTGATACATTCCTAATTCAATTGGAATATTTGAAGTTAATGAGCTCATACATTTTTTTTTAAATTACAAAATACAATTTGTATTTCCGAAATGGAACAAATTTACATCTCAAACTTAATTTAATTACAAAAATATTTAATTTTTCGGAGTTAGGAAATTTTATGTGCATGAAATGCCAAGGATAAGTAAATTTATTTTTCTACTTTCGTTTTGTTTAAAATTTTTTAAATAATATTAGTAAGGAAAATTAAAAACAATTTCAATTAAATTCCGTTGGACAAAGATTTTTTGTAAGCTTTGGATCTCAATCCTGTATGAATTGGGGATAATTAATTGGAGGCGGGATAAAACATTATTTATCCAGGGACAGTGGGAAAAATTTCTTTCTATGGATTTATCCTGGTATATATCTTTTATACCTGGAACCTGGAGAGCCAAGTCTATTAAATCTCCCCCATTATTTAATACAAACTCTATAAAAAATATAATTGAGTCAGTGCAACAGAACTAATGAAATAATATTTTATCATTTTACACATATTGGATAAGGTTAAATAAAATACAAATTAAGCACGTCTGGATAGTGCAGCAAATATGTAGCACGTTGAAATGCCTGGAAGCATTTTTTGTCCTCGTAAACAAGCAGCTGTTTGTGAATTAATTTTGTATCATTTTGAGCTACGACTTTCTGATTTTGTTTCTGCGCCATCCTCCCGCTTTGCTATGGATGATTTAAGTCGTAAAATATTTGCACAGCTCCCCTCCTCGGGCTTAAAATTCTCAATATTGCTGCGTAAATGTTATGTGTGCGCACAGACATGCATCCGCGCTTTCGTTGTATTCTGTCGTTTTGTGTTTTCTGCTGTGTGTACCAAAGATATAAAATTGGGCGCCGTAAAAAATTTATCTCTCCATCTCACCCGACTCTCTCTTTCTTGTTTGCGATCTGTGCACTCGCGCGCGCCTTTAGTTTCCTCCTTCCACTTGGCACTGATTGATTTTTAACGATCGCGTTTGCCGTTTTTATTCACAGCACTTACGTGGCGACAAAAATTTCTAGTGTCCAGTGCATCAAAGCGCAATCAATTATCCAATCTGCAAGCATGGAACGTCGATTCGCAACTGAAAAAAGTCAACAAAAATAACAAAACCCTTCTTTTCAAGCAAATATTTTCTGAATAACAAGTTCTAACAAGTATAATTTTCTGCTACGATAAACATACTAAAATTATCTCTTGTTAAACTTGAGTGAAAAAGTTGTTCTTTTCGCATAGACTTCTTATAAAGTTAAGCTCAAAAAAATTTGGGCACGTTTCAAAAGTGCGAATTCGCACACTTTTTCCGTACCATATTGCGAAAGGGCGCAAGTTGGATTTAATTAATTTCCAGCTACCCCTTTTCCAAGCATCCCCTTTAGAGACGAAAAATGAAGAATAAAAAAGAACAGACCGTCCACTTTAAAAAAGGCCAGAAATTTCGCAAGAGGGAGAGAAAGCAGCCGATCTCTCTCTCCGGTGGTAGAACTTGGTGTTTTTCCCACCAGGGGCGTTGGCTGTCCCATTGACTGGGGTGGCAGTGACAGTGGCTCAGTACTCGGCGCCCAGTGCTGCGGGTTGGATCGTTCTCGTCTCTCCGAACGAGCACTCTGCATCTTTTCTCTCTCACACAAACGCTGAGCTGCAAAAGAAAGGCAAACAAAATCACTTCAACAAATTTTTCGCCCGGTCGGCGAGCTTGTCATGCGGAATCGCGGCTGCCGATCGGCCGCCACCGCAACCTGACTGTTCGATCTTCAGATTGCAAATACCTGTGGAAGAATTGACGAACAAACGTTACTGTCAGTGTTTTTCTTTGGACCAACCCCCGGCTCACGCGGCTTCGAGGACAAAGATGTGCGCGTGATGATAACGAACAGTGTCAGCGAAAAGTGTGAATTAATATTTCATCTCGGCAAGAAGATGCTGTTCTCCGGGATTTGGCTGGCGGTGGTGCTGATGCTCGCCGGCACGGCCTCGGCAGTCAAAGAAGGTGAGAGCCCCTGCGCCGTTAGGCAATTTGTTGAGCACGCTTAATAATCCGGATGCATAAGATGGCAAAGCGAGATTTACGGTGTGTTCGCTGAATTGGTAATTGAATTAGCGCGCTGTTGGGCGTTTACTTTTGTGGGACTGAGTGCTCTTCGCCTCTCTTGAGTCTTGAGTCAGACGCAAATCGTTGAGAAAACTAGGTTAAACAGGGTAGATAAAATTTCTTGCAGTCTTTCTAAGTGAGTTTTATGCAGGGATTGTTTTCTGAAGTGCTCAATCACCGAAGTTTATAAAACTGGAAAAGTACATAAGTAAATTAAATTAATATTTTTACCATTATTAATTCACTTCTTCTATAAAGATATTAATTGGAGTTGCTCATCAATAAAATATGGAAAGTTTGAGCTCCTGCAAGTTTCTGCAAATGAGATAATTTCAGTCATGCCCTCCCATCGTGATGTAATACGCTCCTTAAACTATAACAAAATCGAGTTTGCAGCACGTACCTTTCTTGATCTTTCTTGATGGGATGTATTATAAAAGCAGGAGTGCCATAAAAGTTTCCCAGTTGAAACACCAAGGGATCTATTTGAATAATAAAAGAAGCCGACTTTATTACACAGCGAATTTGTGATTTATAATACCTGCCCGCGCGCTCGGTAGTTTCGGCTCGTGTACGAACATTTTCATACATAGGCATGTAATCAGTAGGAGGCAGTGTGCTCAATTATCCATGGCCGCCAGTGGCGTGCCACTGCTTGGCGTTGTTTGTTGTTGTCCAAAAAGTTTCCACGCCTGAAATGTGATGGCGATTAATATTTCCCAAAATTAGTGTCCATTACTGTAGCTCAATGGCGCAGCATGCGCTCTGCCATTAATCTAAATTATCTGGATAAAATTATCAGCGTTCGTATAATATGTATATTTTCTCCGGTGCCACAGCGTGTGTCATTCCGTGTAGTGGAATTACACAATTACACCAACCATTTCAATGAATATTTTACGACCGCCGTAAAATTTCATTGGACCCTGTAGACGCTCATTCATTTTCATAAAGTAGCGCGCTAGAGTCTGTCTCTCTCGCTCTCCGTAGTTTTAGTTTTCCGACCCGGTCAAATTTTCCACCTCTGCTTTCATCATTTTCGCGTCAACTGCCACAGTGGAGCGTTTGATTCACAGGACGCTTTTATCGCCGGTTTGATTTGCCGCCGCCGCCGCGCCACTTCCAACCAACCGCGCAGTGAAGAATGAATGCAATTTAACTCTCGTTGCCGACGCGAAAAGAAAGAAGTAGCGACTCTGCATTTAAGTCGATGTTCGGCAAGAGGTTCTCTCTTTGACACTGATTTCCTTCTTGCTTCATTCGCGCGCTCTCAAACATCAAACGGCAGAGGCTCAACATCTCCGTCTCAACTCTTTTATCGCTCTCACAACTCAAAATATTAGCGGCTGACGGAGGGAGTTGGAAATTTCCTTTATAAATTGATATTCAATGGGTATTTATTATTAATTACTTCAAAAGCGCTAATTTTGATAAACATGTTGTGGCTAATTGTAAAAGGAATTAAATAGAAACGAGGGTTTTACAGATTTTCAATGAAAATACAAAGCAGAAAATATCTGTAAGGAAAATGAGAATTTTTTGTGCTTGTTAAATTAATTAAAAACAGTTTTCAGAAAGACTGCCAAAATAGTAGTTTTGTATTTAAAAAAAGGACAATTTTTTACTGTTTTCCAATTTGAATGAAATCGAGGCTTTTCATTCAATTTGATTTGATTAAGTTGCTCTACTGAATGAGATTCAACACTACGGTGTGGTTTTTTGGTGAATGTAATTTAAGTGTTTTTTATTCTAAAATTAGCAGGAGTAATATTGGTAATAAGTTCAATCTAAAAATTAATTTTTAAAGAAAATACTTCTGCCATTTTTTACAAACTAATTAAGATATTGAATGGTAAAAGTTGAATTGAAGCTTAATTAAAAGGAAATTTTATTTATTTATTTATTTTTTGAAAGAGTAGAAAAAGTTGCAACAATTTTTACGTTATAGACAGAGGAAAAGTATAATTTAATTTTATAAATTCATGAATAATGATAATCAAATAGAGATTCTCTCTTCATATTTGTTGTACACAAACTTTATTCAAACTCTAACAGTTCAGGAGAAACTGGTTGTATTAACCAATTTGAAAAAAATAGCAACCTTTTTAATTTTGAAGAGCTATCACTTCTCATCTCCAAACCAATTCTGTCATTTACACTTTCTAAACCTACAGAATATTGGTACAGTGCAAAAAGAGGACGTTTCTGACGCGCCAAACATCGAACTTGATAAAATCCAAGTTATCCCGGCGTGCGGCGTGCAAACTTGGCTAACACTTATCAGGTGCCGATAACAAATTCCATTCAACCGATAGGACTTGAAATTGCCACCACTTTGTCTCCGCGAAGTGCATCTGTCAAAAACTCGGGCGTATGAGGCTGTCACGGAGCTTCTCCTTCGACTGCCACCGTCCCATCAATAAGACTCTCGATTTCGATCGAGCGCGCCCTATATAAATTATCCGCCGCCTTTTATCTATTAAATCTGGAAAGCGGTGGCGGGTGTGTGAAGTTTGAGGCTTCCGCAACACATGTGCGTGCCTGGCTGGCATTAACGCGCGCCCAGCTCCGCCTTTGTGCGCCCGGGAGTGCCGCCGGATTGCCCGAGTTAGTCGCTGCTCAAACGGCTAATTTATATACCTATATGTGTGCAGGCTGCGAGAGACGCGCGCGCGTTGAATGACTTCTAATTTGGAGCAAATAACGTGTAATTTGCCGCGTAGATTGAAATTAAATATGCAACCAGACGCACGTGGGAATTCGCGAAAGGGCAAACACATATTTGTTTGAAGAAGCTGCTCACACGTGCGATTTTGTCTCAATTATGCCAGTCACATACACGGGCTAATTTGATTTGGCGCCATGCTAAATTATTGATTGTAGTGTGCGTATGCTTTCGACAAATGTTTGCGCTCGTGGAGTTCATTTTGATATACTGTCTGTGCGCTTGTTTATAATTGAAACTTTGTGATATATGTGCACGGTATATACGACGCATTTTGTGTTGTGTAATTTAATTTATCGGTGTATATTCTGCAGTAAAGACTTTGAAATGGCGTGGCGCGTGACTGCTGTCTGGCACAAAGGCTGTATTGTTTGATCAGTTCACGGAATGCAGACTCATTAGCTGATTTGATTGCTTTGGGCTTTGTCTGGCTTCCAGAGACATATGTCGATCATAAAAGAATCCTGAGCTCAATGATTTTACTGTCGAAATGTTTGTAGTGCCGCTTCCCTTATTTAATTTGCATTCAACTCTTATTTTGAAGCTTATGCAACCGCCTAAAAGTGTTCTGGAACGGATATTAACTTTAATTTCCTATTCATGTGTAGTAAGCAAACCTTAAACGATGCAGAAGCAGAAGTTAAATTTTATTCAAAACTTTTTAATTTTCAAAAATTCCTTATTTTTTGTGCAAGTCAACTTACATTTCCATTGTCATAATCTAAAATCCGTTTAGTATTTTCTTGCCGATGTGGGCGACTTTGAAGATTTTTTTCAGCAGGTGGCGAAGTAAAATCTCTAAGGCCACCGAAGGAGGAAAATACGGAAAGAGGATTAATTCAAAGAAGGAAAATATAAGAAAATAAGTGTTGCGGGGGCTGCATATATCCCTCATATTGGTCATTTTGCACACATTCACTATTTTTCATTGCTTTCATTTTTAATATAATTTAATCAATATGTGTCAACAAGTTTTAGTAATCTGTGTAATGCCAATTAAAGTTAATAGCTAAAGCTGTTGAAAAATTTAGCATAGTTGTTACTCTTAAGATAACCACCTAAATAACTATTTAATCTTGATATACCCTAATTTTGATTGTACATGCCATTTAAAATTTATTATTCTTAATTGCAAAATTGTATGCATATCTATGGTAAAACAAATCGATTTATTAATCTCATTTGGCCACTTATGTTGCTAAAAATTGCACGTCTTAACTTTCACAAGACTTCAGAAACACAAAAACTTCCATAAAGTGCTTGTTGCGATTAAATATTGAGCAAGTGACAAATCCAGAAACATTTAGCCAGAAAGGGTGCGATTTGCATAGCACTCTAGAAAATAATTACTTTTCTTGCCGGCGGGCTTCTTTCTGCGCGCCGTTTGACCTGAGCAGGCGCTAATGAATTAAAAATGAGCGAGAGAAAGCCGTAGCTCACGCCTGCCCCCTCTCTCTTCCATAAATTAATTCACTCGAGTGTATCAAAAGTAATTAATATTCATTTATAAATGCGTCTAAATATGTGTGTGTGTGTGTGCCGAGAGCATTTCTGAGCGCGCGAAAAACATAAATTTCAGGCGTGTCATAAAAACTCGAGCCAAGTATTAATGAGCGAGCGCTCGCACCACCGCTTAAAAATTAATGCCGGCAACAGCAGTAACGAATTATCCTCGAAAGAGAAACGGGCATTCTAACCTCATACCTCTCTCTCCTCCATGCTTTTCGTTCTATATATTTATATATCCACGAGCTTGCTCTTTTTGTTTCCATTGCATTTGCGTGTGACTCGTTTCCATGCATTGTTTGGAGTTAACTTGTGCGCGCGCCAGTGCGTGTGACAATCGGTGCGTTTTCTTGCGGCGCCGGTTGAAATAAATTTTGTAAATAAAAACGGAAGAGAAGTCGCACACACTCACGAACAACAGGGGTGCGTAAAACGAAGTAATCGAGCCGTCTCGTAATTTGACGTGCGTGGCGTTGCGTGCAAGCTTTTTTTTATTTATCGTGTGCCCCATGACACACACGTGTGTATTTTCTTTTCTTTTTTATTATCAATATTTATTGGAGTTGCGAAGCGCATTTCTGTCCAAAGTGAGACGCACCTGTGCCGGTTTGACAAGCCGCTCGCTGAGATTGATGCGATGAATTATTCGTTGCCGCTTTGATTGGCA